AAGGTGACATGCTCACCAAAAGCCCTTCCTTCTGGTTCCTCCTTCCCCATTAAACTATTATATTAATTTCCAATTGCTGCTGTAACGAGTTGCCACAAACTCAGTGACTTAAAACTATGCAAATTTATTATCTTACAACTCTGGAGGTCAGAAGTCCAAAATGATGTTGGCAAGGCCGTGTTCCTTCTGGCAGCTTTAGGGCCCCTGTCTTGCCTTTTGCAGCTTCTAGAGGCTGCCTGTATTCCTTGGCTCATTACTCTCTTTCATTTTCACAGTTATCAATGGCCCATAGAATCTTTCTCACTTCAGATCCACGGGACACAGACTCTTCTGCCTTCTGACTCCTTCTTAAAAGGACCCTTGTGATTACACTGGGCCCACTCAGATAATCCAGGATAATTTTCCTGTCTTAAAATCTACTCATTGGTAGCCTTCATTCCATCAACAATCTTAGCTCCCTTTTGCTATGTGAAATAAGCATGTTCATAAATTCTAGGGATTAAAGTATAGCACCTTTGGGTGCTGCGGAAGCATTATTCTGCCTAGAACCACCATGTTCCTGTACTTAACACCTGGGAAATCCTTGCGCAGTTGACCCAAGCCTATTTCCTATGAGCCATGATTCCTAGAAGGGGATGCGTTATTAGGAGGCTCAGCTTAGGCCAGAGGGTGGGTCAAGAATCAGCTGTTTGGTGGACGGAGAGGAGGGTTTAGATCCACAGGTTGAGGAATTCACGTGTGTGTATTGCAGATTCCATATGTTTTCTCAGACTCGTTCCCCAAGTTAAAGACTAGTCTGGCTGTCATCACTCAAAAAAATAAAAGCTGCTTTCCTTTTTGCCTTATCTTATCCCAAGAGATATTGGGAAACCCCACTTCATGTTACCCCTCTAAATAAAGCTGGTTTGGGGATTTCATGTCACCAAATTCCATTTGTAAAATTGGGAACATTCTAGGAAATTTGGTGAGTGGGGCCAAAAATACAGTGACTGTGAACCCCTGGCTCAGAAGCGTTGGGAACATTTAAGGTAATTTTGGTTTTCTGTTGGAACTGCAGTGGCTGGAACAGAAAAGAGTAAGGGGTTAAACACCGATGGGTCAGATCTAGTTCCACATCAGAACCGGACCAGAAGGGAGGGTCAGATCTAGTTCCACATCAGAACCGGACCAGAAGGGAGGGTCAGATCTAGTTCCACATCAGAACCGGACCAGAGGGGAGGGTCAGATCTAGTTCCACATCGGACCAGAGGGGAGGGTCAGATCTAGTTCCACATCAGAACTGGACCAGAGGGGAGGGTCAGATCTAGTTCCACATCAGAACCGGACCAGAAGGGAGGCAGGACAGTTTGAGAGAAGGAAGAGAAGGGACAAAAGGGTAAAATTTCAGGAACTTTAGCTCGGAGTGCAAATAATCAAGTTCCATTTCATTACCATTGTATTCCAAGCAATTGTGACACCTCCACCTAATAGACAGGACAAGTACACCAGTGATCAGATCACATTCTCTGGTCTGTGTGACTCACTACTGTTAAATGCAATTGGCCTACATTTTTTCTTCCCCACCCCTTTCTGAAACTCCAAGATGACCAAAGGACGATCTAATCTGAAACCTCTTCTTTCTTTCACGTATGTATATGTTTAAATGGATATATGTGAATATGCATGCCTATATACATATGCGTGTGTGTGTATATAGAGGCATGGATAGATACGGTATTTATACACGTAAATATACATGTGAGCTTGTTTATATAGCCTTAGCGTGGGGTGATAGGGAGAAAATGGAACCAAGAATCAAGAGACTTGGGATTTTGGTTTTAGTGTGCCTCCAATTCTGTAGGAGACATGAATCAGACCACGTGTTTGCTTATCACTGAAAGATGTTTTAGACTAGATGATCTTTCTGATTCTTTTCTACTCTAAAATTATCTTACGTTCTATTAATGAGCAAAGACTCCAGCCCTTGACAAGTTATCTTCCCTCTCTGTCCAGTCCATACTTCTTCTAGATTCTAATTCTGGGCAGAATTTTTCATTAGTCTCTCATTTTTTTCCCCATCGGTACAATTTAGAAATGAAGGAAGGTATCAAAACAAAGATACTTCACTATAGAAAGATTTTGCCAACCACCTCCAGACTTTTGAGTCTGTGACTTATTAGTATCCAAGTACTACATGTTTGTCATATAATAAATATTTGCAACATACTAAAGGCCATATGGGGAACAAGGGAGATACAGAAATTGCAGGTATGGACATTTTGGATTTAGTTTTGGCTTTATTTTCTAAGTCAACCGATATATACTGAACATCTTCTAAATGTTAAATATACAAGATATAAATGTTCTCTGCAAGTCTAGTGGAGGAGATATATTGAACACATAATTATATTAAAAACAACGAGCTACAGATACTTAAGTTATTTGAAGATACAGTTGGAAGTGTTAAGGGTTTAAAACAGGAGGCTTGCTCTAGAGGAAAGGGTGCCCTTGCAAACTAACTTTGTGGCCTAATTTAGTCACATTCCACTCCAGGTCTAAAAGTTTCTCGTATCACAAGAGATCTTCTCATTCTAACAAACAGTAGAGGGGCGACTGGGTGGCTCAGTCGTTAAGCATCTGTCTTCGGCTCAGGTCATGATCCCAGGGTCTGGGGATCAAGCCCCGCATCAGGCTCCTTGCTCCTTAGGAAGCCTGCTTCTCCCTTTCTCACTCCCCCTGTTTGTGTTCCCTCTCTCGCTGTCTCTCTCTCTCTCTGTCAAATAAATAAATAAAATCTTTGGGGAAAAAAAAATAACATACAGTAGAAATCCTGATACAGGATCTAAAACCATGTTCCATGTTCTAACCTTCACTGATGTGCTTGGACCCTCCATGAGTTTGTAAGCTCCTTGAAGAATTTTTTCTCCTTTTTAAAATACTTTATTCAATGAATGCTTATTAAGCCAGGCATTTATGATTGAGATTCACAGATAAAAAATCACAGTCCCTGTTCTCAAGTGGCCATGGTCATGTTGGGTCATGTTGGGATCAAGTGGACTCAGGTTAGGGCTGTGGGAAAATATCAGTGCTATCATGACTGAGGTTCCTATGGAACATCTATATGGAACCATCTAGATAGAAGCCAAATAGGTGAATCTGGAACACAGGAAGGGATGACCAGAGGATGTCAGTTTGTGAAAAGACAATGATGACATTTCAAATAAGTTCATATATGTCTTATTGATAGGAATACTTCTTCATTACAAAAAGCCCTTAATAAATATACTTTTAATATTCAATGGATGAAAGAATGAATGAGTGAATAGGAGTTGTTAGGAGTAGCAGAGTTCTTGTCAATTTCTATAGTTCATGTATTTGAGTGTATAAGTGTGTATATGTATGAATATATATGTATTTATGTAAATGTGTCTGTGTAGTTATATATGCACACATATACATTCATACCAAGATTAGCATTATATTAATACTGTACATCTCTATGAGTCTGCTAGGGCTGCCATAACAAAACCACGGGACTGGGTGCCTTGAACAATAGAAATTTACTTTCTGACATCTTTGGAGGCTAAAAGTCCAATATGGGGCGCCTGGGTCGCTCAGATGGTTAAGCATCTGCCTTTGGCTCTGGTCACGACCCTGGGGTCCTGGGATTGAGCCCCACATGGGGATCCTTGCTCAGCGGGAAGCCTGCCTCTCCCCCTCCCCCTGCTTGTGCTCTCTTTCTGTCAAGTGAATGAATAAAGTCTTAAAAAAATAAATAAATAAAAGTCCAATATCAGGTTGCCCTCAAGGTTAGTTTCTAGTTTCTTCCTGGCTTGCAGACTGCACTTTCTCACTGGCTGTCCCAAAGGCTTCCCTCTGTGCCAGCACAGACAGGGATCCCGTGTCACTTCCTCTTTTATAAGGACACCAGTCCTATATTAGGATCCCACTGTTAGGACCTCACTTAATCTTAATTCCCTCCTGATAGGCCCTGTCTCCAAACACAGTCACAGTGGGGGTTAGACTTCAAACATATGAATTTGGGGGGAACACAATTCAATCCATAACATCAGTGCATGTGACATCCAGATCGATTTTTCCTCAAAGGATAGTCTCTGTGAAAACAAAGAAAGTGTTCTGTGTCATAAAACAGAATCCCTAAACAGAAGGGGAGAGATATACTTGTTAAAGTTCAAAGAGTTTGCTTATTTATAAAGTAATTATAATTCTTTACTACTTTACCTGATTATATCAAAATACAGTTATATTCCTACAAAGAGGAGAGGATTATAAGCCACTTGCAAGTAGATAAACCTTTAACAGCTGAATAGGTTTAATCAGTTGTTATTGTCTATTAAGCCATGGAAACCAGGCAGGAAGAGCCAGAAAAGGTTGACGTCGCACAACAATTTCATATCATGAAGGTGTAAACGTAAAGCGGAGATCACTGGTAGAAAACTGTGTTGCATTCTTGGCATGTGCGCACTCGTAATAAAGTTAACTTTCACTTATGGTTATATTTAACGTAAAGGCTAATCCCAGTTTATTTTGCTCCTGTTCTGCTTTACCTCTTTGCACACTTGGCCTTCGTTTAGCCCTGGCCTCTGCGTTGGTGTTCCCCGCCTAAAAGCTCCCTGGGGTTGGGCAGCCCCCGCCCTGACAGCCAGGTGACAGACGGGGTGGAAAGCTGGAGCTCCGAGGGCGCGGAGCCTCTCGCATACCGTTCCCCTCCCACCATCATCCCACTGCGGGAAGGCGGAGAGGGCTTCAAACCTCGCTCCAATCCGCAGCCGGCCCTCCCCGGGGTCCCCCGCTGGGCGACCCGCCCGCCGCGGACCGAGTTGGAGGAACTTTGCAGAGCTCGGTGTCAGAGCCTGGAGCGGCGAAGTACTCCCCCTCCTCCCCAGCACCCCCCTCCCTCTGCCCCCGCCTCCCGGTCCTCGCCCAGGCGCGAGCTCCGGTGATAGGACGAGCCCCGGGCGTGCATTGTGTATATGCAAACCAGAGCCCCGGCTCCCCAGGGCTGCCCAACCCGGCCGGGGCTGCGGCGGCGGCTGGGGCTGCGGTGGGCGCTGCTGTCCTCGCCGGAGCCGGGCACTGTCATGCCCCCGCCGCGCGGCGGGCCGCTGCGTCCCGGAGCCGCTATATAAGCGCAGGCAAGGGGACACTCGGAGGGGCTGAAGATGACGGTGCCCGCGCATGGGCCCCCACTGATTGCCAATCCCTCCCGAGCCCGCGCCCCGCGCGGAGCCCGCGGCCGCCGAGGACCCGCCTTCGCCGCAGTAGCAGCTGGAGCAGCGACAGAGGAGGCAGCTGCGGCGGTGGCGGCGGCGCCCGTCGCCCGAGCGCGTAGAGCGGCGGCGGCAGCTCGGGGGCCGCCGCTGCCCCGGCTGCCATGAGTTGTGCGGAGGTGATGTATCACCCCCAGCCGTATGGAGCGCCCCAGTATCTGCCCAACCCTGTGGCAGCTGCAACCTGCCCCACAGCCTACTACCACCCGGCGCCCCAACCTGGCCAGCAGGTGAGTCACCGACCGGGCAGCCCTCCGGGGGCGGGGGCGGGGGCGGGGGCGAGGGGCACCGAGAGTATCTGTCTGGGACTCGGGCGACGTCCCGCCGGGACGGGCGGCGCGGAGGATGCTCTGGGACCTGCGGGAGCGCCCGTGAGCAGAGAGGAGGAGAGGCTTCGGGAAGGGACAAGCAGCCTGGTGGACGGGTGGGGATTCGGTGTGAGGCATTACCTGGCTGGGGGCTTCATTGAGCTGTTGTCACCGGAGCTCAGAGCCTGCTCCTCATAGCCACCTTAGCTCTTTGGGCTCAGTTCTCTGACACTCACCAAGGGCATCTGTCTTAGGAGTATGTGAGTAAACTTCCTTTTAAATCAAATATTTTGTTTTCATTGGAAAGGTGGAGTGTTTCAGGGTTCTCTTGATTAAGAGGATAAAATGTGTCACCCACATAGGGGAGGCTACCTGGACAGAGAGCTCATGGAATGACCTTTCTGGAACTTTTATGGAACAGAGGTGTAGTGTAACGTCTGTCAAATATTATTAGAACTTCTCTGTAGAGTCTGTCTTCTTATGACTGTGACTTAGAGGGCAGGAATTGATCCCAAACTTCCTCATTCATTTTTAATTCCATCAAAGCACAGAGATGTTATAGTTCAGCCTAGTGGAAGTGTTTCCGCGCTCAAGAGGTAACCTTGAATCACTGGATGCTGGGTCTTCATCAAGCTGAGAGTGACGGAGAATGCTGTGGATAAAAAGGGTTCTGGAACCAGGGAGATGATATAGTTCCTTTAGAAGGGAGAGTAGGGTGTGGGGAATTTGGCACTAGGTACCCCTGAACATTCCTCTCTGGACACCAGCAGAATGTGTGTCAGGCCTTAGTTAGTGCTACAGAGAACACATATGTGAGTATGTGGCACTAACTTGTACCAAAGTAATTTGGTACAGACTCTGGGAATGAGGGAATTAGGGTTGATTGGGTGAGATTTAAAAAAATACAGTTTATGCACTCCGCGGTGGAGACACTTATGAAGGAACTAGATGTGGTTTGGAAATTACCATCCACAGAATTTATTGATTGGGTTTTTAAAAATTTCTTAGGAACCATATATTTTATTGTGGTCTTAAGGGTTTGGCTCTTTATTATAATTTATATAATTAATTTTGATTTCTGTATTCCCTTTACCTGTTTCTTTGCTAGATTTGTAGCTACTCTTTGGAAAGAAATCGTAACTTCAGTTTAGAATTTAGGGACTGTAAAATTCAGCTGATTCTGGAGCACATGCCCCAGAGTTATCTGCAGAACAATATAAGCTTAACCAGACCAAGTAGGGCAAAGGAGAAAGGAACCCCATTTTATTGCTATTATTTATTTATTTATTTATTTATTTATTTGTTTATTTATTTATTCATTTAATATTCAGGAGCTTTAGCATTTGAAAACAAGATTACTTTTAGGAAAGAGAATGGGAAAGCATTTTGTAATTTGTGGTCAGTGGTGATAGATTTAAAACCTTTTGGTTATGCTCTTTGCTTTTCTGTGATTTTAAATATAAAAGATATAAGTAATGGAGAAAACCAATTGGTACAAATTAAGCAAGTGAGGCAAAGAGATACTGGATATCATTTTTATGTGTTTTATAAACACTCAGTCCCAGATGAACCACCCTATTTCCTCCCTTCCTTTCCTCCATCTCAGAGACTGTGGAGGCTCTCAATTGTCAATTGGAATGTGGACAAGCAACAGACTCAGAATTACTAAGCATACAGGAAAGTATTTTTCCCCTTAAAAAATAACTTGAACTATAGATGTTATGAATAGGGTTTTGTTCTATAGAATTGTGAAAATAATTCCATTAATATATGAATCTGTGGTGGAGGTTAGGCTTATAATACTCTTGAACTACAAAATAAAATTCAGTATCAGAAAAATTATAAATTACTGATCATAAAATTCAGTTTTCAGTAAGAAATAACTAGTACTCTAACTTGTGTAATAGTGCTGCAACTCAATCCCCAAATATCATTCTTTTGCTGAGACCATCAACAAACTGAAGAATGGGGTTTCTTTTTCACCTGAATTGTCCACATTGATGAGTTGCACATATTAGTAAATGTCACCTTCACTACACTATAGGGTTCCGTAGGTATCATTCAAGTAGATAATTGGCTGAGTGGACTTTAAGAACTTAGCTGAGAGGTGTGCTTGGAAATTTTCATGTTACTTTTACTAAAATGGCTTGTTGGAGGTTCCTTTTTCTGTTGTTGTTAAGTAGGAAATTGACTATAACTGGCTAGCGAAATAAAGAGACTTGATAGTGTAACTACTGTTCTTTTACTGTCAGGAGTTTATTTTGATGACCTATATTTTCTATTAGAAAAAAGTAAATCAGGAAATTCTTATCAGGCTGACAGCATTTTTAGACTATGCGGTGCGTGGGTGAAGTGGGACTAATATTGACTTGGCTGGCCCTAATGCAGTCATCCGAGAATACATATTTTGGTTGTTTTTACATTCCATAAGGTTTTATCATTATTATCCATGAAGATTGTTTTCTTCGTCCCTGGGAAGTGACCCCTAATAGCATCTTGCCTGGGATACAAAAATAAAGGCTACCACTCCTACTGCATTTGAAAAATTGATTTGTTGAGTAGAAAAAAAGAAATCAGAAAAAGTGATAGAGTTATAAAGTTTCACGGTCATTGATAAAATGTTAGGAAAAAAAAAGCTTTTCAGCTTTGTATGGCTTCTGTAATCAGTTGTAGTGGGTATCTTTGAGCCCTCAAGTCCATATAGCTCAGAAGTCCTTGTAAGTTAGTATAGCATAATGGTCTATTATGATGGATTTTATCCAAAGGTGTATTTTTCCTCTTCATGTATGATCATATAGCTGAAAATTATTTTTGAAATAATAGAATATCATTCTCCAGGCATGTGTACTCTGCTTTATCCTTAAAAACACAGATGTGCACTTGAAATTTTAAGTTCAGATTTTCATCAAGCATATTATGCATTGTACATGGGTAATAGGTTGGTGTCTTAAAAACATAGTTAACTGCATATATATCGGGCCGCACTGTGATGTGTTACGAATCAAAATAATTTGTAAATATGTCTGCAGAGTAAATTTTATAATCCCTGACATTAATTCCTAGAAGTTGCTTAGCTGTGAGTAAATCTTCCAGTGTGCTTTGTCCAGCCAGGATTTGCTGAGAGATGCTAAGCTCCCTGGTCCTCATGCCCACGATCTCTTTAACATCTCCTCAAGAGAACTCTTGACTCAGTCTCTCAGCCCGTGCTCTGGAGGCATGATGACACTGCAGAACGTGTCCAGAAAGGAATGTGCTTGCATTCTAACAGTGACAGTAGGAACTAAGAAAAACAAATTTCCAAATATGTGTCAGGAAAAATTGAGGGAAATGACATGAAATCATAGATTCCCTTCATACCTGGGGGACTTCTCATCTTCAATGTAGACAGTCCGTTATTGTCTAAATCTGCCTCCCCTCCCCATTTACTCATAATGTCAACACTAGAAAATTACGTAAAGCTTTCAGAATCATGTCGTTTATAGATGAGGTGGTGAAAGCAGAAAAAAAAAAAAAGATCTCCAGTTTTCTAATTGTGCATGGGGTCTTTTAACAATTACGTTCCGGGTTTCATATAAGTTAGAGCATATTTACTCTGTCCTCTTCAAGGGGGACAGCTGGGTGAATCTGCCTGCATGCTTTCACCTAAAAGAATTAAGTGCTCCTAGGAGGCAGAACTCCAGTTATAAGTTTGTAAGGAGTTTGTTTGTTTGTTTTTTTCAAACTATTTCTCTGAACTTTGCCACCTTGGTTAGGTCATAAAACGCTCTCTAATAAACACCCTGAAAAAACATACTTCAACCCCTCCTTTTGCAATTGGGAGAGTGGATGCTCACAGGGCTGAAATGGCTAGTCAAAGATTTCAAAGCTAATTGGTGACAAAATTAGGACCACCAGAAGCCATGCTCCCCAACGTAGCATCTTTCCACCATGCCATGCAGTCTCCGAAGCTTTTTCCTTTTTTTTTTTTCTTTTTGCTATTGCACAATAGGCTTATTTTTGTCTTTAGTGCTCCAAATCAACTTTTTGATAAAGAAGATTAATATGCAGTAGATTCTTTGGCCTTGGAGCTTGAAATTCTTTCCAAGTCCTTGGTAGTGTACTTTTTTAGTTTAGGCATTCCAAAGTCCTTTTGAAAGCATTTGTATTATGCTAATGACTTTTGCTATCCATTCTGCATCCTTCGTTGATGAGGCAGAATATCCACTTAGCAAATGAACGTTTATTTATTTTAAAATAATCTTCAGGAAGTGGTATTAACAGTCAGCTTTAAGTGCCTCATATATTACTGTTATTCCAATGTAAGTTTAGATTCATTAAACAGAAAGAACACAATTATATCTTAAATAGTCTCAATACACCGCCAGCTTATTTAAGGTGGAGGATCCAATTTTCTTGCAACTGTAAGCCAGGACTTAAGTGGACTTATAAGAATTCATACAGGACTTCTTTGAGAAATAACAGCCCCTATAATTCCACACTACACAAATTAACTTGACTGCAGAGACTTAGAAGCTTAAAGTGCCCCAGAGTTTTATGCTCCCAATAACTTTCCAGCCAGAAAATTCAAAGCTGGAGAAAAAAAAAATTAAACTTTAAAATAACTAAACTAAACTGTTGTCTCTGGCAGTCAACCAGAAGAGAGATTACAATAACGATAGAAAGGGAAGGCTTGGAATCAGTAAAATCATGCATGGTGGAGATATGTTCACCAGGAAACCAAATGCCAGGACAAGATGACATTCTTTGGAAAGGAAGGGGTGTTTTGGACAAATGCAAGGAAGTTCTAGTTCACCTCACACTTAATGAAGTCTCCCATCCCACGAAGTTGGGGATGACAGGGACATATGCCACACCAAAGGAAATGAGGGTGTTCAGAGTGTTGAAGCTTGCCATTGTGCACAGTGACTCTGTGGGCTATTGCA